CCAAAAGGAGTTAATTAATCACAATTTTTTTCCCAGAGCAACGCCGGGTTATTCAGCTAGAAATATTATATACATAGAGATACTTTGTGTATATTTAATAGTTTTTAAAAAAAATGTCTTGTTAATACAAAAGTTTTCGGTCGTTCAAAAAATTTGAAAATATGGTACAACGTTCCTCGCCAATGGCTTAATTTTGGGAGGGAGGGGGGGCAAAAGTACAAAAAGTTCCAAAATTGGCAAAACACAGTTTAAAACAAAGGAAAACTACGGTGATAGGGAGAAGGGAATGCCCCCTTTAATATCCCTTGGATCCGCCACCGCTTCTCGCATGTTGATGTTAGTAGAAATTAAATAAAAAGTTAAGCATAAATTCACAATAATTTTTTATGAGCGTTTGAAGTTAAAATAATAAATTACAAAATTCATAAAAATCACGAAAATTGGCAAATTATTTCAAGTTAGAAATTCATAAAAAATTTTCTATTCCTCTCTAAGCTGAGAAAATTTAATACAAGATTACCCTTAAGTTTTCCTACATTTAACAAAAAAATTAGTATTATGGAAAGTCATATTAAATTTTAACCTTTTACTGTCTTACAGATAGGTAAAATTGAATATTCATAAGTAAATTAACAAATTCTCATACAAGAATTTTCTTATTTTGTCGTTAGGAGATACTTGAAATGTTCATTTTATAATTTTATATGATAAATTGATAACACTTTCAAAATATTTTTACTCGGTTTGAATTACTTATAAACATTTGAATTTTTTTTAGTTTTAGATTCTGAATGGAACGATGAATGTATTGATTTTACAATGATATTGTGTGTTTTTTTATTTATTTTTTTGTGTCTGTCATCACCTTTTAGGACAGTAAACGTGTTTGAATTTTCTTCAACAGTATCTTTTCTGATAGAACAGTGAATCTAATTGGTACTTTGGGTGGTCAAAAGTAAAATTTTCCCAGTAGTTTTCAAAAGCACCGTGAATAACAAAAGAAAAATTAAGGAAAAACGGGAATTTTTACGCTAAATCGATTTTAGTTTTGGTTGTTTCTCAAAAACAAATGAACATATATATACAAGACAATTTCACTGGTTGTTTATATTTCCATTTTCTATACATGATAAAATTTTAAAAATATTTTGAGTTATTTTGAGCTCTTTACGGACATTTTCAGTTTCTATATTTTTTAGGTTTTTTTTCTATAAAGTATAAATATCAATAAAATTTTATTTGTGCGGTACAAAAGATTAAAAATTTAATAGAAGACTCCTAATACATATATTGTTTCAAAGACAGATGAAAAATATTTTTTAATATTTTTTTATCCTTAGTCACAGTTTTTTGTTATAAGCATTAAAATTTCAAATATGGACAAAATACGTAAAAATGACGAAAACTTGCAAATTATTTCGAGTTAGAAATTCATAAATTTTTTTCTTTTTAAATCTAAGATATGAAAATGTAATACAAGATTCCTCATAAGTTTGTCTACCTTTATCAAAAAAAAAAATGTCTACAAGAAACTCAAATTAAATTTTTGTGAGCGTTTGAATTTCATATTTTTACAACATTTGATATTCACTCGATTTCTCATGTAACAATTTTCTAATTTTGTTATAATTAAAAAAACGATTTACTGTCGATACTTGAAAATTTCACTGAATGTTTATATTAGCATTTCCTATACACCATATAATTTTTAAAATATTTTAACTCTTTTTGAGCTGTTTACGGACATTTTCATTTTTTAATTTTTTTTTCTATAAATATAAATAAAATTTTATTTGTTGGGTAAAAAAGCGGGAAAATTGAATGCAAAGCTCCTGATATTATATTGTTACAATACCACTTGAAAAATATTAAAAATACATAGGCACAGTTTTTTTTTATAAGCATTTAAAATTCAAATGTTGACAAAATTTATCACATTTAAAATTTAATAATAATTTTGTATTTAAAAATGTATAAAATGTTCAACTTTTATAGTTAATGATTGAAAATAAAAACAAGATTCGAAGTAAATAGTAAATTTAAATTACTTTATCCACCTTTGTATCATAAAATATACTTCGTAATATCATAGGCTGACTAACCGTTTTCGCTCAGAATCGTTTTCTTATACAATGATATTATATCATTGAATTCAAATTTAATACCATCCATTATACAGTGACCCACTTTTAACCTACTGTACAATAGAACACCTTTTTTATTCTATAAATGTCAATAACATTTTATTCGTTAAGTCTAAAAGCTTGAAAATTTAATACAAGGTTCCTTAAAAGTTTTTATAATAGAATTTGAAAAATATTGAAGACCCATAGGGCAGATTTTTTTTATAAGTATTTAAAGTTTGGATTTTTACTAAATTTAGTAGTTGAAAATTTATAAAATGTTTAACTTTTATAGCTAAGGATTGATAATTTTAAACAACAGTTCTCATAAATAGTCCATACTATAACCAAACAATCTAAAACATATTATGTAAACACAGACACACAGTTATATTTTTCAGTCATTATAAGTTCAAATTTGGCTAAAATTAGATACTAAAACCAAGAATAATGATTTTTACTATATTATTGTAATTTCAAAATACTATTCGTGGATAGGTATATCAAACTTTTAGAATATATTATTATATTTTTTATACATAATGAGTAATGACATTTTTCACATTCACATAATTTTTTTAAATATAAATAATTTTATGTAGAAAATTAATTTAAAACGTAATAATGTAATATCTTTTTTAAAAACATTATTTTTGTAAATAGTTTGACGTATCTACCAATAAATTACCTATCTATAACACTCAAGTTATCAACATATACACGCAGCCTACACCAAATATAATAAAATATAATATGTACCTACTAAAGAATACAAATTGGATTGAATAATATATAAATTGAGTATATTGAGCATACAATTAACTAAATTATATTTGTTTTTAACTTCAATGATTCTTCGTAAAAATTATTTTCAATTCACTAACCTAACCTACACATAATATGAAAATGCATTCGTGAATACATTAAAACAATATTTTTAATTCAGTTATACAATCAGTTGATAAATAAATAAACTAAATAAATCTAAAGACACTAACAACTATATTCACCTTTTTTTATATTTAATTTGTAAATAAATTTCATTATGAGTGTGAGATCAGTGTTAAATAATTTAAACAAATGTTTTTTAATTTGTGGTATTGGTAGTATAAAATTCAACCAGGGCAATTTTAAGACGACCCTGACGTTGTATGTCTTGAGATGTATAATAATTTATGCTGGTTTAGATACCTTCTACAAAATCAACCTATGGGTAATGATACTATATATTTTTTTTTGCAATAGTTTTGTTTGATAAAACATAAATGATGAATTGAAAATGCATGACGTAAATAACTACATTCACTGTAATGTCATGGTACTAGTATTATTATCCATTATTTTTTGAGCACACTTTATACATTTTTAATTTGTTAAAACTAATTTCTAATGAACATGTTTAGTTTGTTTACTTTCTTTCTTAAAGAACAAAAAAAAATAATAAAAAGATTATAATATGTATTACTAGCCGAACCCGCGCACTCCGTTGCACGTAAAAAATCGCAACTCTTAAAAAAATTATGATTGTTTAACTCCTTTTGGTGTACCCGGCAACAGTAAGTAGAACTCAGCCACCCTGGTAGGCAATGTTCAATAATTTGATTTGATGCTAGCTTGTAATATATATAATATGGTGTAATAATTGTAAATTGTACAGATGACATTTTATTTTACAGGCAATGAAAACTGATTCGGAAATGTCTGAACTAACATCTATAATAATGATCTGTTGTTTTGAATTAATTTTCATTGGAAAATTCGTATCTCAAATCTGGCGCTTTTTTTTTGATAGTCAACTATCCATTGTATTGACAAAACTTGAAACAATCCATGAGAAATTGATACGCCTGAGTGTGGTCGGCCCGATAAAAATAAAAATGAATTGGATTTTCATTATTGGAATTATTGTTAATGTCATGAGAGTTATGGTTCCAACCTTATGGATGATAAGTGTGAACCAATATTTTTTAATACAAGACATGGTAACATTATAACATTTATAAATATTTTATAAGTTTATAACTAGTTTTTATTATTATTTATTTATTTATTTACAGTTTATATAGATAATTAAAATATTGTTTCTTTCCGGGTATTCCTAGTCTACTCCTTTATATTTTAAGAGTACCTATGCCGTACCCGGTTCTATTGTTTCCATGTTACACGTGTACAACACAGCATTGTAAATTTTATATTGGTACAGCTCTAAGAAAACAGTTACTCAATTATCAAGCTTAAAGTTAAATATATTATCGGTGGAAGACCAACAGAATATTTAAATTAATAATTGAGTAATGATAATCATCAAATTGAAATACATAAAAGCTTGCCTAAAAAATGTCATTTAAACATCGTAATAAATAGTTTTAAAACAAAGATAATATTCATGTTTTTTTTTTCAATTAATTAACCGGTGGTAACATAATCCATTGGGTGTTGTAAGGTTAGTAGAGTAGAGTTGGGATTGTTTATATTTGGTCGATTAGGAACAAGTGTTTGTGTAGCAAGGTTTTGGCTCACTACGAACTCAGGTGGTCACCCATCCGAGAACTAGTGACAGCGGCTGTTGCTTACTCTCAATCAGGTAGCGGGATTAATTTCAGCCACTGCATCACGCATTCACGCCGAGCCATTCTTCTTTCATAATAGGCAACAGAATAATTCATTCCAAAATTTAACTAAATATAAATAGCTTTATTTGTAATATGATTGTATCATACTATCACATATTTTCAGATCATTATGACGGTTTTAAATACTTGCAAAATCGCTGTATTTAACGAATATATATTACTAATATTATATACACGGTGGCTAGTGTACACGATAAATGAACAAATTCCCGAAAGAAGATCATGCCTAAGTTCATTCAGAGATATGTACTTGGAAATTGTAGAATGCTTAAACGATGTCAATAAATCAATACATGGTTTGACGGCCATAGTTGTTTTTATTGCAGCAAATGTCGCAGAAATAATCGATTTGATATACTGCCAAGTATTATTTCCTAGAGAATATGAAACTTTATTGGTATATCCTCTCGCATCATCATTAACCTGTGCCACTAAGGTTCTAATATTATACATGATTGGTCACTCCACGGAAAAAGAGGTACCTAATTATATATAATATAATAGTATAATTTATACTGTATATTATTCGAAATTGTTATTTTAAATAGATTTGTTTAATTAATTATTTGCTATCCAAAATTCTAATCTCAATACTTAGTATTTAGTAACGTCGATGAATAAAAAGGTGGGTAAGTGGATGTCGCTCTGCTTTGCTGTACTTTAGGTTATGAGCTGGTCACTGTATATAATGGGTGATATTAAATTTGAATTCAATGATATAATATTATCATTGTATACACTATACACTATACGAAAAACAATTCTGAGCGGTGACGGTTTGTCAGTGTGTATATTTTATATTATATTTATATTGTTTTTAGTTATTAATTATTATTAATTAAACGGTAGCCGCGAGCCGGTAATGATGAATTAATATTATAAAATTACAACAAAATAAATAAAATCGTTATTCTTGGTTATTTATCGTAATTTCCTCCAAATTTTAACAAATAACTATACAAAAAAAAAACTTTTTGATTGATACTTTTGAGATTTTTTTGTTACATAATAACCTACTTACGTGGAACCTTGTTGTAGGTTTTCAATCCTTAGATATACAAGTTCAACATTTCATACATGATACATTTTTAACTATAAAATCTTTTTTAATTTTAAATTTGATAAATGTTGTCGAAAATAGAACTTTAAATGCTTATAAAAAAAAAATTGTACCTTTGTATTTGTAATATTTTTCAACTTCTATTTAAGTAATATATCAGGAACCTTGTATTCAAATAACTTATATTTTGTATTTTCAGATAAATCGGATGAGCCTTGTCTTACATCAATGATCCGTGATCGAAAAAAACCCTAGAATTAAACGTCAGGTATAAATGTATTACTATACTAACTATATTTTATTCATTTAAAATTAAAATTATTTTTATTTTTATTTAGATCAAGTTCTTTTTACTACGAAGATTGCACGAACACTTCCATTTTCAGTTGTATGGAATGTGTCATATCAATCTAAGGCAACTACTTATCCTAACAAACAGTGCAATTGGTTATTTATCAATTCAAATTCTGTTCAAATTAAATAAATAATAAACAAAAATAAATAATATATATCAAAAAAAGTTTGCAAAATTAGTTCACACATAGGTAACAGTTATATCTTTGTTTCAAAATATATATTTTTTAATGTTAAATGCCTACCTTCTAGAATCTCTAGAAGGAGTGCTTCGATTTCAACATGTATAGACATATAGTACTTAACTTATCTTTTAGAAAATTGGATCAAGATTACTATCTTAAGAGGTCATTTTTTGATTTTCTCAATAGTTATTTAATGCCACTGTAAAAACCACCAAAAAATTACGAAAAACCGCTAAAAATGGGATTTTAATTTCTAACACTTTGTCTATCACCATAGAAAAAAATAAAAAATAAAAAGTATTTCATTATTAATTCAACTAACAGGCTATAATAAATAATAACAATATAAAATATCCAGACTGACAAACCGTCTTCGCTCAGAATCGTTTTTCTTATAAAATTATTGTACAATGATATTATATTATATCATTGAGTTCAAGTTTAATACAATCCATTATACATTAACCCACTTGTAACCTACTGTACAGCAGCAGAGTGACATCCACTCACCCGCCTTTTTTTAAATTTGTTTTGTACATACCTTTATTATTTAATAATTAAAAACTTGACAATTTTATATCGTCTTATAAATATGGTATATTTTATTTAATAAAGAGTAAATAAATGGGTGGTGTGGGGGGCTTCGTCCCCCGTGGCTCTGTGTTCTGAAAATTATCTGGACCCTCCCCATGACAAATTCCTAAATACGCCACTAGTGGAACCTTGTTGTAGGTTTTCAATCCTTAGGTATACAAGTTAAAAACATTTAAAAATAAATAACATTTCATACATGATACATTTTTAACTATGTATTTTTAATATTTTCAAACTTATATTTAAGTAATATATCAGGAACCTTGTATTCAAATAACTTATATTTTGTATTTTCAGATAAATCGGATGAGTCTTGTCTTACATCAACGATCCGTGATCGAAAAAAACCCTAGAATTAAACGTCAGGTATAAATGTATTACTATACTAACTATATTTTATTCATTTAAAATTAAAATTATTTTTATTTTTATTTAGATCAAGTTCTTTTTACTATGAAGATTGCACGATCACTTCCATTTTCAGTTGTATGGAATGTGTCATATCAATCTGAGGCAACTACTTATCCTAACAAACAGTGCAGTTGGTTATTTAGTAATTCAAATTCTGTTCAAATTAAATAAATAATAAACAAAAAAAATTAATGGTTTTTTAATTATAATTGTGGCCATGGTAACGTGTATTTTTTTTCTGAGTTGTCTATTATGATTATCGTACCAAAATAATTTTTACTATTTATAAAGTCACCGGTGTTAAATGTTATATTATTGTACCTATATAAATAATATATTTTGAAAATTGGTCGTCGATAAAAATATTTAAAAGTATAGAATTCATAAGCCCAAAATTATCATAATATTACTTAAAATGAAATTATTGTTTTTGTCTGCAATTTAGTAAGAGCTCTGATTTTAATAATTAAAAATGTGCCTACTATACGTATAATAAATGGACTAAGTTGAAATAATAAAAAAAAAAATAATTATAATAATAATAGGTACCTATATAACGTCATTGAAGGTACTTCAGGTATTACTTTTAGGTACATGCAATAGTATATTAGTATATTGTGTGGCAAGGGCTGAAAGGCTGGAAGTGAGCAATCTCAGTGCGACGTGTGTACGTGCAGCAGTCGTGGGCCGCATTTCACTAAATACTGACATTGCCTTCCCTCACGAGCCACACATACTATTTTTGTCACGCCACTGCGTTCATCGATCACGACAAGTCGGCAAATGCACTGTGCAGGGATATTCTGTGAAACAACCGGACTATTCTACAAAAACAATTTCATGAAAGAAAATTGTTTGCTCGTCATGTAGGGAGGTCATAATATGAATATTATTTTAAGATATAGCCCACGATTTAGATAACCTAAAGTTTAAGTTTTGTAAGGACGGTGGTATTGTTTTCAGTGTTTCCCCGATAACTTATTCAAGAGGGGGTAACATTTTTTTTACCCCAATGATTTTTTGACAGCATCCAGCATTCAATTTATATATAAATTTATCTAGTTAAGTCTCAACCACGGACTAAGATATACAGGAATGGTAACGATAAGGCTGGAGGGTGGTAGAGGGCTGGATACCAAATGTTTTCAATAGGTACATGTGGGACACCTAGCGCTATCTAGTAGGCTTATAGCTCATCTACCATTACTTCTCTATAAATACATTGGCACAGAAAAATAAATTACATTGGTCTCATTGCATATTTTATATTCATTCCATTAGTAAATAGTAGAGTATTTAGACTTTAGAAATTTACTTACTACTTACTAGAGCGTCTAGACCTACTGCTTGATTTATTTAAATAGTTACGACTATTTTCTACATTTGTGTTAAATTATAAAATTAAAATGCCTCGCCAGTGTTCAATATTTTTATGTACCACTAAGGAACGGTCCAATGTTCAGTTGTTTAAAGTTCGAGAATCGTGGGAGGAAATTATTAATGAAGTGAATGGTAATCATAAACGTAAAGTGACATACGTCTGTATAGAACATTTTAGGAAAGAAGATTTGATTAACAGTTATAGTACATGTAATGACTTGGAAGTAAGAAAACATAATTATTTATATTTAGCCATTTAGGTAGGTACTATATAAGTACCTACTTGGTCATTATAAATTATAAATTATAACTCAATAATTCTGTACACAGTTTAAAAGGAATTTAATTGGGCTAAAAAAGGTGCTTTTCCATCAGTATTTAATTCACCATTTGATATTCACAAAACAAATGATTTGCCTGCAGAACCTCGAGAATCTTGTACACCTGTTACTGAGTCATTTAGGAAAGAATTGTTTGGTGAACCCAAGCCTAAGAGATTATGTCAAACACCAACATTAATAGTATGTTTGTGATTAATTGTCATAATACTATAATAGACCATGTAGATTATTTAATTTATATATACCTACCGGCTACCTAACTTCATAGTTCATATGATTTATTAAAGGTACCTACCTAAACCAATTTTTATTTAGGAATTCGGGTTAAGAATACTTATTTAGAGAATTTAGAGAGGCTCGCTTAAATTAGACATTCAATTTAAATACAAATAATAACAATAAAGTACAATTAAGTACAATATGAGATTTACTTAATACAAAATAGAGCGTTAAATTTTCTAAAGACTATTATTATTTATATCCACCGACACGGTCGTGGCGCGAGCTAAGTAAAAAAAAAAATAATAACTGCACGAAGGTGTGTGTATATAGTATATCGAAGCAGGAGTTGCCTATTTAAACTGTGTAAAATACAGGTAAATTTGTTATACGACATAACTATTTTCTTATGCATCAATTAACTCCTAGTAAACTCCAAAACATCAGAAATATTGTGTATAACGTGCTTTTGTAAAAATCATCAAAATCTTAAATAGTTCAGAATCACGGTAGCCGTCATCGTCGCATCAGCGTTGCCATTGTTACCGACAATATTACCGTTCTTATATAGATTATTGTGTAAATACTCAATATTTAATAATGATAAATATTACTTATTAGTGATATCACAACAAAAACCCTTCTTAAACTACATGCAAAAATGGCTAAGTAAAAAAAATATAAGATCTTTAAGCAATATAAAGATGTGATATCATGAATAAATACTAAGTATATTGAATTTAAGTAAACTTATTTTGTTTCAATAATTTATTTAGGTGCTTGGCGAGGAATTATTTAGAATAGTATATAAATATTAATAATAATATTTTTTAAATAATAATAAGTTATATTTTACACTTTGTTTCTTTTAAGAAATAATTCCTCTTCAAGTAAATAAATTATTGAAAAAAAAAGTTTACTTAAATTCAATATACTTAGCATTTATTCATGATATCAGATCTTTCTAGTGCTTAAAGATCTAATATTTTTTTTTACTTAGCCATTTTTACACGTAGTTTACGAAGGGTTTTTGTTGTGGTATATTATATAAAGGGCCGTTAGTATACTTCAGGCCTCTAAAATTATGATCTTCCCCGGCTGTTTTTTTCTCCCAGTCCGCCACTGCAATTCTGAGAGAAGATCGTCTATCAGCCTATAATGTCTTGAAATCAAATGTATCTTAAGTAGGTAGGTATTCTAAATTCAAAAAGATATGCTAAATTATTTAATCAGTTTTGCTTATGAAGCGAGTTACACAAAACTAAATAGAAAGTATGGAGTACACAAATGCAATGACCAAATCCTGTGTAAGTAACAATCAAATATCACACATTTGTGTTAGTCTAGAACTCTTTATTATAAGAAAACAAATCACAATTTGATATATCATTATATCATAATACAAATGTATTTAAATAACAAGGTATAAAATCATTAAAAAATATTTATAAATTAGTAATTCTTAAAAAGACAATGGGTGTAATTAATAACAAGTTTAATTGATGATAAATTGTGTTAAATAATTGCAAAATAAGTTATTAAAAATAAAAAATTTTAGCAGAAATAAAAAAACATTGGTTATTCTCCTTCATCTTCAACATTACGTCATTACCAAATTCCAACAATTTTTGTTTATTTCTGTAATTTTATAATAACATATTAGTGAACAAAACTACTATAATTTTTTTAAAGATAAATAGTAGTTAATTTAACTAGAAATAATTAAATAGGGGTTTATAAGATAAGATTCATTTATACTCCTATCAATAATATATTTGAAACATTGAGTTCAGGGATGGCCAAAGAAGATTAATCCAGTAGAAACAAATTATAAATCTTAGTACAAATGTCTATAACCCTCGTCCAAGTTGTTTAATATATCTTTTCTAGAAGTAAAATAAATATTAATGATATAAATATAGTATAAATAGTATTAAATACTATATAATGAACATTTTTATTATAATATTATAACTGTAATAATGTGTAATTTAGTATACGTTT